AAATAGAGAGAGCACTTTCAGTGTATTCCACCAAGGTCTGAAAATACTCTCCAAAAAGGATTCAAGGACTTCCATAAAGCTGTGTCAGATTTTGGAATAAAATGCTGTATCCACAGGTATCTTCGCTGCACCTGTTCCAGGCATTTACTACTTCACCTTCTTTTATAATGCTGGAGGATCACAGGAAGTTTTTCTAATCCTCATGAAGAACAACCAGGATGTTGTGTCGACCGCTGATCGGAAAACATCACATGATGATGCTGATAATGGTGGCAATGCAGTGTTCTTACAGCTGCAGCAAGGGGACCAGGTGTATATGCGCTTAGGTGCAAATACACATGTTTGGGGAGACAATTTCATTACCACCTTCAGTGGTTTTCTGGTCAGTCAGGTTTGAACAGTGAATAAAGATATGATTTATTTGTCATTACAGTTTTAAATTGTTGGTATCTCTATTTAATTGTAAAGCTTACAGTAGTTTACAATTGTATAGAAACAACTAACAACATTTATTTAAAAATAATACCTCTTGCATGCCAGATTATATTATATTTCGAAATCATGTATGTCCAGAGAGAGGGGATGGAGGCTGGAAATGCACCCGGGCTGGCTGTTTTGAGTCCCTGATCTAAAGGTTAGTACCAAGTCTTTGAGGTACTTTTATTTCACTGGTCTTGTTAATCAAATAATCATAGAGTAATAACTTTTTATAACCCTTTCTGTCGTAACCTAGGTCTAGGGATTGTGAGTTAAGTGTAGATCCTGGGAGAGAAGCAGGAATGCGAGGGTGGTGGCTAGAGACAAAGACCGTAACCAAGGTAAACAGAACTGCAGGCAGAGGAGAGCAGGGTTAGAGGAATATAAAAATAACAAGTAAGCAATGATTCACAAAAGAAACTGACTGATCAGGCACTGTGATCTTGTGAGGTTGATGAGGAAAAGTATTTAAAGGAGTCTTGATGCAGCCCCACATCCGGTATACCACAGAAGGATACTAAAAGACTGTACCCAGCCCAGCAACAGTCTGATCATCCTGCTGCCATCTGGGAAGAAGACTTAGCTTGGTCACTCAGGCTGTGAGACTGCTAAATTCATCCTCAACACTTTTTTTTATTTTATGACTTAGTAATACATTTTTATTTGTTTTACAAGCATGAAGAGAACCATATCTGAATTTCATTATATAAACTGACGTTGACAATAAAATAACCTTGAAAGTTTATAGTACAACAAACATGGATCAGATATCTATTGCCAAACAATGAAAACCACTCCTAAATTCATGGGATCTCAAGGGACATCAGTATTACAGTACCAACACAAGAATGACAAGTAATCACATTTATGGTAAATATTACTGTGAAATCACATAAAATAGTCAAAAGCTTAGAGCAATGAACTGTGTTCCACAGTTTTGTAGCTTGCTCATTACACAACCCTGCATTGAAAATGAAAAAAAAGCAACCTTGAATCCTTGACTGATATTGTTTGCTTGTAGCAAACACAGATCAGTTATCTATTACTAAACACGGAAAACTCCTCCTAAATTCATGGGAACTCAGGGGATATCAGTATTACTGAACCAACACAAGAATGACAAACACAGAGAGGATACAGCAGTATTTCTCATCTACATGCCAGTTTATTCTGATTACATGTTCACATGTACAGTAAATATTGCTGTGAAAAAACACTTAATTTGGTGAACTGATGTTTGTCACAGTTACAAGATGAATTGTCTAATGCCTGTCATACATACATGTCTTATTTTTTAGACTTGTGGAAGAGATTAAGCAAAGAAACTGTCCAATAAATATCCTAAGTGACTCAAACCAAACCAAGGGGTTTACCAGAGCATAGAAGCTAGAACAGTCTATTGCTTTGGTGGTACAACAGAGCCATAGCAGTGTCCTATTTATCCTCAGGAGTGTGTAGTTCCTCTGTTGCTTCCATCCAAATTCCATAACCAGTTTTAGTAAAGGTAGGCCATGTCATCATTGTTGGATGGAGCTGGAGCAGTGTCTGGCCATACAGTAATGTGTGTACAAGTAGTATAGCAGTGCTGTAAATACGCAACCTTGCAGAGCAAGTTGAGGTCTTGGGAATTCTGGGGGGTTGGAGGTGTGACTGCATATATCACTCTTAGTCTGCGATCTCAGAGTCAAAGCCATTAACAACCTGTGATAACAACACTGAAAATATAAATAAACGAATTTAAGACTACACAAAACCTGTCGCACTAATTAAATATTCTCTATCACCGTTCACTCCAGCGTCAGATCTGAGGTTATATGAACAGGACAGAGGAAAATCCCGGATTCTCATTTTAAAAGTAGTGCCATTAGCCACTCTGCCATATGGCGCATCCTACCCAAAAGCAACCAGGGGAAACTAGAGTCATCAGCGAGGAACCAAACAAGACCATAACAGTAGAACAGCACAAATGTTTAAACTATGAATAAGAGACAATAAATAATACAGTAGAGTAACATTTATACTGTACCATAATATATACAGTACAGAGTAAATACGGAGTCTAGTGACTGGAGCGAGAAAATGGACTCAGGTTATTTACAAGTTATCCAAAAAAAAAATACTTCCTACATCAAATTCCAGATCATCCTTGCAGCACTCAGCAAAAACACCTGCAAAAACATCCGTAACTAGCACACATGAAAAAGTTTACTACGCAAGGTAAACAAATCCAACACTTAACCAACAAAAGCCATCAAGGGATGGACACTAAAACCTCTTTCAATGCCATCACCAATTAACAAAATAAAAGGAATAGATCTTTAGTGAACACATTAGGAAACCGATTAAGTACCCTCAAGCAGAGCACAGCCCTTCAATGCTCATTTGGTGACTTAAAGGCATATTTAGTGCTCTAAGTTCCACGCTGAACTCCAAGGAAAAGAAAAATTTAGCAAGGTCTACAATAGCTTTATACTCAGGGATAGTACGATTTTAGTTAGTGAAAAGAAAGTTGAAAGAGTTGAATTAAAGCCTGGGAGTAAGTGCTTTGACAAACAAAAGAAAGTAAAAGGAGCGACAGCCGCGTCACGCAGGTGATGAAACCGTCACACACGGTTTGCAGAGACAGTTGGACACACACACACAGCAAGTTCCTTACAGAAAAACTAGAGGATTCTGAAAAATACACGTCCAAGCAAACCTCGCACATCTACAAGAGGGGGACTTATGTATCGAAAACACTGATGCATTATCAGACCCTTCTAGTTTTACAGCTTTTAATACATCATTCACCCCAGACTGGATGACTAACTAACTGTATTTGACTAAACACCTCTTTTGTACTTGGATTCTGGATTTCCTAACTACCAAGAACCCAGGTGTCAGAAAGTCACTCCTCCAACCCGCCAGATTCCAGACCTCAATTGCTCTGCAAGGGTTGCGTATTTACAGCACTGCTATACTACTGTGTACACACATTAACTGTAGGGCCAGACCACCTGCTCCCAGCCTCCATCCAACAATGATGACATGGCTACCTCCTTACTAAAAAAACTGGTTATGGAATTGGATGAGAACAACAAGAGGAACTACACACTCCTGAGGATAAATAGGACACTGCTATGGCTCTGTTGTACCACCAAAAAGCAAAACTGTTCCTAGCTTCTATGCTCTGGTAAACCCCTTGGTTTGGTTTGAGTCACTTAAGGATATTATTAAATTGGAAGTTTTCTTTTGCTTAAATCTTTCCACAAGTTAAAAAAATAAGACATTCGTATATGACAGGCATTAGACAATTCATCTTGTAACTGTGGACAACATCCAGTTCACCAAATTAAGTGTTTTTTCACAGCAATATTTAACTGTACATGTGAACAATGTAATCAGAATAAAACTGGGGGCCCAAAAAAAAATGGTTAAAGATGAGAAAACTGCTGTATCCCCTCGTGTTTTGCATTCTTTGTTGGTTCAGTAAATACTGATAAGCCCCTGAGTTCCATGAATTTAAGGAGGAGTTTTCCAGTGTTTAGTAAAGATAACTGATCTGTGGTTTTGCTAACAAGCAAACAATATCAAGTCAAAAGGATTCAAAGGTTGCTTTTTTTTTCATTTTTCCAATGCAGGGTTGTGTAATATGGCAGCTACAAAACTGGGAACACAGTTCATGCTCTAAGCTTTTGACCTATTATGTGAGATTTCCATAATATTTTACCATAAAGTGATTACCTTGTCATTCTTGTGTTGGCTGTAAATACTGATGTCCCTTGGAGATCCCATGAATTAGGAGTGGTTTTCATTGTTTGGCAATAGATATCTGATCCATGTTTGTTGTACCTAAAACTTTCAGGTTATTTGATTGTCAACGTCAGTTTATATAAGAAATTCAGATATGGTTCTCTTCATGCTTGTAAAACAAATAAAAATGTATACTAAAGA